AGGCATCTAAAAGATCTCATATAGTTTCTTTAAAATTTAAGATTGAACTCGGAATGTGAAAACCTATGTTGCATGGATACTTCTATTATGGAGTTGTACCCATACCCGACACGTATGGCACCTGTAATGAACACCAACACTTCTTGGACACTATTAAGTATACGCATACATTTATTCATACATGTAGTCATTTATATAAAACGATTCAATTATATAATACAATTTAATTTAGAACGCTAATCATCCGCTTCATAGACGTACATCCTACACTTCACATCCACTTTCTAAACTTGTTGGCTAAGGTTTGGGGTCATTCACCCCATGCACAGTTCAGGAATTGGTTATCTAGTTCAGAACTATGAGTTCAGCCCGTATGTTTTAGTCGTGTCTCCACACCCTTTATCGTGTCCCATACCTTCACCTGTACCTGTATTCATGCAACTTAGGTGGAAACTTTCTAATCAGAAATGTCTTCTTATTGCCTCTCATGTCTATTCTCTTTCTTCACATCTTTGACTATTTTATATGCTGACAGTTGCTCAAATTTATTTACAGATTGTCAGATAATGCATATGGTCTTGTGGCTGAAGTTTTGAAGAAGCTGGTGGCTATTGCTCCAACTTACTGCTACCTATTTATAACGGAACTAGCTAGCTCAATGCACAATCTAACCATGTCTGCAATGAGTGAATTGCACTTGTATGAGGATGCTGAGAAGGCTCTTCTCACCACATCTTCTACCAACGGTACATCAATTTTGCGAGTTTTGCAGGCATTGAGTTCTCTTGTTGCTGCATTAAATGAGAAGAAGGATCCTGAGCTTCTTCCTGAGAAGGACTATGCTGATGCTCTTTCTCAGGTATCAGAAATAAATGCTGCATTAGAATCCTTGTGGGTGGAATTGAGCAATTCCATCAGCAAAATTGAAAGTTCTTCAGAGTCAACATCAGATTTGGCTGCAGTGGCTGGAACTTCTGCATCCACAAGTGCGAATGCAGTGCCACCTCTTCCAGCAGGCACCCAGAACATCTTGCCATATATTGAGTCTTTCTTTGTAACTTGTGAGAAGCTAAGGCCTGAACAGTCAGAGGTGGTCCAAGAGCCTGGTACTGCAATAACTTCAGATATTGAAGACACCAGTGCTGGTCAAAGATCACCTGTGGTTTCTTCAAAAATTGATGAGAAAAATGTTGCATTTGTGAAGTTCTCGGAGAAGCATAGAAAGCTATTAAATGCATTTATTCGGCAAAACCCAGGGTTGCTTGAGAAATCATTCTCTCTCATGCTCAAAGTGCCTCGCTTCATTGACTTTGACAACAAGCGTGCCCATTTCCGATCAAAAATAAAGCATCAGCATGACCATCATCACAGTCCGGTGAGAATTTCGGTGAGAAGAGCCTACATACTGGAAGACTCATACAACCAACTTCGGATGAGGTCACCTCAAGATCTGAAGGGAAGACTAACTGTGCATTTTCAAGGAGAAGAGGGTATTGATGCTGGTGGGCTTACACGGGAATGGTATCAGTTATTATCCCGTGTCATTTTCGACAAGGGTGCCTTGCTGTTCACTACAGTGGGAAATGATTCAACTTTCCAACCAAATCCTAACTCAGTTTACCAGACAGAACATTTATCATACTTTAAGTTTGTTGGACGAGTGGTAAGTATTGTTACTACTGTTTTGGAGCTACACTGCTGCTCTGATATTGGTTTTGACACTATCATTATTTCCCCAGGTTGGTAAGGCTCTCTTTGATGGTCAACTTCTTGATGTTCATTTTACTCGTTCCTTCTACAAACACATTTTAGGAGTGAAGGTTACTTACCATGATATTGAAGCCATTGATCCTGATTACTATAAGAACCTAAAGTGGATGCTCGAGGTATCTTGTCTTTTGTTTCTAACAATTTTTTGATCCCTCTTTGTTTGGATTTTGAATTGTATACGAGCAATTGTTCCTTTTGTTTTGGCAAAATGCAGAATGACATAAGTGATATTTTGGACCTCACTTTTAGTATGGATGCTGATGAGGAGAAGCTGATATTATACGAAAGAGCAGAGGTAGGATTTTACTGATTTGTCTTGTTACTATGTTGTGTTTGGTGAAAGACTTGAGTATCGTGTATGACGATTTGATCTGTGCCGAGGTTTTTTCCTGGAGAAAAACAGGATAGATAAAAATGGTGTTTACTTTTTTTTTTCTGAAAAAGAAGACCTTGATCTCGAGAAATAACTACTATACTGCAATTTCTGTTAATAAATTCTGTGGTTGAATATGCTATTTGCTTTTTGCAGGTAACTGATTCTGAATTGATTCCCGGTGGACGGAATATCAGGGTCACAGAAGAAAATAAACATGAATATGTGGATCGTGTTGTGGAGCATCGGCTTACGACTGCCATTAGACCTCAAATTAATGCGTTCATGGAGGGCTTCAACGAATTGATCCCTCGGGAGCTGATTTCTATATTTAATGACAAAGAGCTGGAATTATTGATTAGTGGACTCCCTGATATTGACTGTGAGTAAACACAAGAATACTTTTGGTAACAGAATATCAAGTAACTTTTGTGCTATTGTCATAGTATTTATTAAATTTAGATATGGTACATCAATGCAGTGGATGATTTAAGAGCAAATACGGAGTATTCTGGCTATAGCAATGCCTCTCCTGTCATCCAGTGGTTTTGGGAGGTGGTTCAGGGCTTCAGCAAGGAAGATAAGGCTCAGTTCCTTCAGTTTGTTACAGGAACCTCTAAGGTATGTCTTTTGAAATGATATGTTTCATATTTGCGGCTAATTCCAAGAGGTAGATCCAACTTTATGGCCCTCTCATAAACCCATTTTATTTTATTTTCTAAAGCAACGGATTTTCTTAGTACGCTCTGAAACATGAAGTGAGAGGCTAGAGAGAAAGGAGATTAACTTGGAAGATCCCTAAATTTTATTGAATTTCTTGATTAATATATCATTTTTTCTAGCGTGTCATGATTATTGATGTCCACATGTATGCTTCTGTCTATCCTTTTCAAATAGTATGTTTGACGCAAAATCTTTTCGTTGTTTTTTAAATATAGTTTTTATATCTTGTATTTGCAGGTTCCTTTGGAAGGTTTTAGTGCACTTCAAGGAATATCTGGCTCGCAGAGATTTCAAATACACAAGGCCTATGGCAGTCCTGACCACCTGCCTTCAGCTCACACTTGGTATGTTTTAATGTCCAGAATATGCTGTCTTCAAATTTTGAATCCATCCATAAAGTTCCAAAGGCTAATAGGTCTTTTGGTTTCATGAGTATGGTCTTCATCTTAGTCCATTGTTGGTGAGAGCCCCTCTGTGAACTTTTTTTTGACTTTTTAAGAGTAAAAAGATTGGCAAATGGGGGTCTATCCTCATTAATAGAACAAAGGGGTCTATCTACCTCATAACTTTTTTACTCTTTTAAGAGAAATTTTTTTACTCTTTTAAGAGTAAAAAAAGATACACCAGTGGGTGTATCTACGCAAAGAGAACTACAGGGGGGATCTATCTGCAATTATCGCATAAATTTCGAATTCAAGATTTTCTACAATGCATGTGGTCTTAGCGGTTAATTCATTCTTTTTAGTGAAAACATAATATTTTCTTACAAAATTATTTCTGTCTGTTGCTTGAATTATATGGCTTCAACCCCGGTTACGCTATTTGATTTTCCCTTGTCAAATGCCTTACCTTTTTTCTTGTACACGCTGCAGTTTCAACCAACTAGATTTGCCAGAGTACACATCAAAAGAACGGTTACAGGAGAGATTACTTCTAGCCATCCATGAAGCAAATGAAGGGTTTGGGTTTGGTTAAGGTTGCTGGCATAAGAGCATACACCTCGACTCTTTGTACATAGTATATAGGATGAGAAGAGGTAGAAACCAAAGGAATCGATAGAGAGGTAACAAGCTTCAACCAACTTAACTAGCTGCCATCTGTTTTGCTCCCACTTTCCTGTACAAGAGAATTTTTGTGGAAGCATTTCAGTCTCCTCTTCCAAATTCGGGAAGATCAAAGCATTGTCGAGCAATTGGCGATGTATCTGTATGTGAAGGTGATATTTCTGTATGTGAAAGTGAAAGCTTGTTGAATTCTTTTTAGTTTTCTGTTTTAGTTAGTGTAGTGTGGGGATTGAGTTGAGGGGATTGACTTTTGGGCTGATATCCCTATACATTAGACAATGTATATCTTCCGTAATTATGGTTCTTTTTTAGTGGATATGTATTTTGCGTTTTGCGACAGCGTTTACTTGAGCTCTATCGTTATTTATCCGACCTCCCGAGATTATGCGCGATTATTAGATCTTTGTGGTTTTTATGCACCTTAATGCATAGTCATAACCATGTGCAAAATGCCAGGATTGATTTAATTACTAGGAGAAAAGCCCATTGAGGCTTTGACATTGAACGAGAAATATGCCTTGTTAATCTTACTAGGAGAAAGCAACTATAAAGGATGCAAAAAAAGCCCATTGAGGCTTGGACATTCAACTAGAATTATGTCATGTTAACCTTAACCTTACTAGGGAAAAAGAGTACATCCTCTCAACTAACACATTCTAATATTGTGTACCAACAACCTTTGTAACGCCTTGGTGAATAAATATATTAGACTACCGCCTGAATGGATTTGTTATATTAACTACTCAAATATCGTAGTAGGTAACACCTTGGTGAATAAATATGTTAGACTACCGCATGAACGAATTTGTTAAACAAAAAAGAAAGTTATTTAAAATGTATTTTTTTCTATCTCCTTTGATGAATCAACCTCGAGTGTTGTAGGAGTTTCTTTCTCGGAAACTACACCTCATGTCTCTCGAATAAATTTATAGCCAATACTATATCAGGTAGTGTGTTGCTAGATAATATCAAGTAGTGTGTTACTAGCAAGATATATTAGGACGGCCAGTGAGCTCAACCTCGAACCATTGTTATTAGTTCCTATTATCTCCCTGCACGAACCTCGGTCCAATCAAAGCTTTTGTTCGGAATTGGGGGCTAGAGCCGGTTAGAACTCCCATTTACTGATCGAAGGTTTGAGTTTGAGCAGCTATGACAAGCTGCTTTTCCGAATAGTGGGTATGGGGAACCAAGCTTACCGGCTGGTGTTGCGGATACCGTACACGTTATAACCCCAATTGGAAGGGCAGGCTAGTCTGGCTCTTGGGATGCGAGGCTTGATCCTTACCCACCCATCGCAGTTTCTTCATTATCTTTCCGAGAAAGGATCATTGTTCACATCAAAGTGTCCAAACAACCATTGGGGTATTCACTGAATGTGCTTGCTTTACCCCAATGATTGTGCTTTATCTGAGTAATCTCTCCCCATAATGTTGGGAAAATTGTTGACAATCGACATTCATTGATTCTAAGCACCATAAAGTATCTAAATGGTCCACATGGTGGATGAATAAGTCTACATATTTGAATAGGTTTCATAAATGAGGGAGATCCAGTCCACTTCAGTTGGTGATAGTCTAATAATCAGTTTACTTTGAGATTCTCAAACAACACATGAGAATTCATTAGATTGAAATTAATCTTCTGGTTTTTCACTGGGTTCCCATTTGAGTTCTTAATTATTTTTCACATCTTAATTGATTTGAAATGCCTAAAAGTATTAGGGGCATTATACTTGTGGTTTACTACAACACTTGTTTTAGTTTTATTAATATTTGTACAGTACAAGCCACAAGATAAAGCTGGTAATTTTTCCAACACAAATTTCTTACCCGATATAATAGTTGTAATGAAAAAGAGTACATTTCCTCAACTGATGCATTCTAATATTGTGTACCAACTTGGTACACAATATTGTGTACCAAATCTTGTAGTAGATAACGCCTTGGTGAAAGACTACCGCGTAAACGGATTTGCTGCATCGTAGTAGGTAACACCTTGGTAGTAGGTAACACCTTGATGAATAAATATGTTAGACTATTGCATGAACGGATTTGTTGAACAAAAAAGAAATTTCTGTAAAATGTACCTTGCAAGCGAGGGTTTTATATGCTGGGGTCGAGGCAGACGAGTTAAGGGCGAGCCGACACATAGAAGGTGGAGGAATGGATGAGTAGAGAAACGATGAGAGAGAGAGAGAGAGTAGAGAGGGTGAGAAGAAGTCAGATTCTCGGATTCTCTCTGCTATCCAAAAAGGAGTGGAGAGAGACTAGTGGTGGGCGTGGACTGGGTCGGGCCTAACCCATGAACCGACCCACTCGGTTTTAGACCAGACCAATTCAGACCCAGCAAGTGAGCCTCCGTAGGATCAGGCCAGGTCCGAGCCTCCGCAGTGTCAGGCCAGGTCTAACCCAACCCACAACTGTTTAGGTCACGGGTTGGTCGACATTCTTTTTTTCCAAATTCTTTTCAAATTTTTTGCGAGATTATTATGTACAATTAAAAATGGAGAACCTGTATTTTATCTTTTTAGAATTATCCTATCAAAAGGCAATGATTTTCGTACTAAATAAAGAAATGCTAGGGCCTGTTTGATTGCTTTCCTGGTCATCCATCCTTCAATGATTGCTTTGGCTATTTGAGAAATTTCTCCCATATTAATATTAGTACAGATAATTCGAGTCCATCTGTCATGAAACCGATTATGAGTATGGAGCTCGGAGACTATAGAAGTTTCCCAAATCTATAAGCTTGGAAAATATTCAAAACCGTTTCTTTTCATGTAACGTAGCCGTAATGTTGAATTAAAAGTGCGCAATAAGTGGAGATAGGAAGATGGCTATTTTGACGATGGGTGGCAAACCCTTAAACTGCATTGGATTGTAGAATAATGAGAGATCTCTTGTAATTCTCAATTCACAGACAATTCTTGCTTCTATGTGAGGTATATAAAGAGGAATTTCATGAAGATTTACTCCAAATCTAGGAGAATTACATTTTGTAAGAAGTGTAAATGCTTTGTGATCGTTTAGAAGGAAAACAATATTATCCTCTTCAACCCTTGGAATATATAGTTTGGACTATAATTGTTCTCTGTTTAGACGCTCTCTATAGATATTTTGTTGAATGTATTCGGGTATTCCAAGAATTTGAAACTTAATGCAACGGGATAAGGATAGAGATAATTAATCTCATATGAAAGATCTATAAATCTCTCTTGCAGCTGATTATTTTTGTTTAATATATTTCTCATCTTTTTCTTTTAGAAGATGGACTAGACGAGTCATATAAACTCTGATTTACTTTTTCTCTTGAGAATTTGAGCGATGAAATTTTCCTTTAGCTTGTGAGATTGAAGCTTGATGAGACATATTTTTCTTAGAAAATGTTCAAAAATGTGTATTTGAATTTAATATTTCATTAAAGTATCAAAAAAAATATTTCTAGTTGTTTCCAGTGATCTTCAAAATTTCTTGAAAAAAGGATTATTATTGTGGGTAGTAATATGAGATATTCTCAACATTCATGAAGATAATATTCTTAGAACTTTAGATTTTCTCGTTAAAAGTAAGTGTACCATGGTGGCCTTCGTCTCCAAGTATAGAAAGAGAAAGGTATGATGAGAACAGTTTTCCATCAATTTTCATCTAAAACTTGCATTTGCCAAAAACCCATTTTTATAAAAAATTTTGAGAATATCTTTCCATGTATAATATTATCATTTTGATATTCTGATAGTTGATAATTTACCCATACAAGATTATTTGATCTCTTATAATCAATAATCTCACATGAGATTCCATGTTCAAATTAATTGCTAGGGTCTAAACAACAACATGTATCAAGTTTTTATTAGACTAGTATAATGCATGTGCTTTGCAGGTGGATATGTTGTTGTATTTAATATTATATTATTTAATAACTTATATATAACCATTAAAAATTATTTTATTGCACTATGATTAAATTTTTTTAACTTATACTAATATTAGTACTTATACTGTTATTAACATACATTTAATAGTTATTTTTTTTATTATACTATTCAATTATTTAGGAGTATAATTATTAAATAATAATGTAATAATTAGTTTAAGTAACACTATTAATATAATTAAACCATTTAAATTATTAAATATTTATGTCATGTACATATTTTATTACAATATCTATTAAATAATGGAAATAATTTTTAATATTATATGACATTATGTTGTAAAGAATATTACATTGTTCAATAATTAATATCATTTTAATAATAAAAAAGTGGATGGTATAAATTAAAAATAATATTATTTAGAATAAATAATTTATATAAAAGTATTGGATCCTTGAAATATATGAGACATTTACTTTCCAACAAAAAGTGCATGACTCATAAATTTCAAAGATCTAATATTTTATTTCACTATGTTCATAGTGTCTAATTTTTATGTCTAAGATGATATTATAATATCGTAAAGGGTAATAATCATTATAATATAAAAAATCCTATTTATACTATTATTAATAATTATAAATATGTATAATATTTTATTAAATAAATAATTTTACTATTTCATTATAATTAATAATTATTTTATATTAAATTATAATATATTTATTAATTTTGTTATCATTATAAATTATTAGAATATTCTAGCGAGTGGCCAAATATTTTGAAGAAAAGAAGAGAAAAGTATATGTCTCATAAATTTCAAGGATCCAAAATTTTTTATATAAATTATTTTTAAAAATAAAAGTATTAGTATTCTCTTTTATAAGTAGTATAGATTATCTTTTATAAGTAGTATAGATTATCTTTTATAAGTAGTATAGATTATCTTTTATATAAAAAAAAAGAACATTCCTTTTATTATTAAGAATCTTTTTTTTGAATGAGTCTGGATAATCTTTACTCTCATCTTCCACCAATCACACCAGAACGTATGCGAGAATACAACCACCACCCTTCGACAGCCCCACCACCTCCCTTCGATCCCTGCCACCTCCAAAAAACTGAAAGTATAGCGACTTGAATTCTTAGTAGAGACATTTAATCTGTAAGCATAGCAATTTAACTATGGGTACAGCAAGTGAAGCTCTAAATGCAACAACTTAAATGTAGAGCATGACAGCTTGTAGGAGTAGGTTGCAATACCCTTGCATCAACTTGTGATACTATCGAAACTTGCCTCTGCAAAAACACTGCTAAACAAACAACAACGAAGGATCATCATTAATCATCAATTTACATTGGCAGTGCAGTGAGCAGCAAAACGAACAACAGAAGGAATGTTGCACGTAGCGGAAATTTTGGCAGCACTTCAGCAGCATAACAAGAGAGTCATGTCGCAATA